TGTCTGTGTCTGTCTGTGTCTGTCTGTGTCTGTCTGTGTCTGTCTGTCTCTCTATCTGTCTATCTATCTATCTATCCATCTATCTATCGCTGACGAGATTGATCCACACCGGCAGGAGTTGGCGACAAAAACCATGTATATATCATTAATGAGGGTCTCTTGTCAGGGGTGCACATGGATTCCCAAGTGATGAGCCGCGTCTCCCTGTGCTGCTTTGGGTGCAGGTCCCAGCTCATTGCCGCAGACTTTGGGGAATCTTCAGAAGCTCCGCGTTTTTGAAGCCTTTGAGAATGGAAGGCTGGTTGGCATCAACGAGAGCGAGGATAGCTGCCCAGGACAGTGGGAGGCCCATGGTAGCTGCTTCGCTTCCATTGGCCGAACCCTGCTAAATCTCTTGTTCTCTAACTAGTCAGGCCAGGACTCGCAAAGTAGCATGGGCAAGTCTAGTTCATGTTGTGATCAACCCAAGGAGATTGGCTGCCGAACCGTAGCCAGTGCGTCCTTGGCTATGTGTCTCGAGCGGACAAAACTGCACCTGTGTGGCGCTGCCCGGTGCATGGTTGGAACATCAGACTGGATGATATGTCTTTGCCCTGGTGGAGGTGCTGCCGTCAGTGCAGCGATTGTTTCGTGTCACTTTGTTCGCCATGCACCGAGCGGGGAGGAAATACTGGGCACATGAACTGTTTCCAGCAGACCTAGGTGGCGGTCCATCGAGAAAATGCACATTGATGCCAATTTCATCTATGGTGACTTGAGCTGGCAAACCTGTGTTCTCAGAAATCGACGGCCTTAAAAACTACGGGGTACTCTGCATAAGGGAGCCACTCCAGGCCCAAACTAGTAATAAGGGAGGCTCCCTGACTGGTAGCAGCCTGATGCAAGTGTCGCCAAAAGCCGCTTGGGTTTGGGGCTGGGAGTGATGCACCGCAACTACCAAAGTTTGGCCATGCCGTGCTTTTGGTGAGTAGAGTCCCAAGCAGCCAGTTGTCAGTTGTCATTACATGCAGCATCATTTCTGGTGATTTACTGTACCTCCATGGAGAAGCCTCCTCAGTTGTTGGTCGCCCGCTTTAGAGTTTTAACTCACACTCGTTCACCAGATCTTGCTGTTTGACCATTTTGTTCCAGATTTGTAGCCAGCCACTGAGGACATATCCCCGAGGATCTGCCCGAACTTTGGCCAAATCTCCGCTGCTTGACCAGCTTGACCTTTGTATAATTATGATAGTTTCGATGCAATTTGTAGGTCACTTTTCGATTGTTGTCAGATGGGCGCTGGCGGACAGATCGTTCCATTCCGCCATTGAAGTAAGGCTCACTGGATCTCCATGATTTGAAGCTTTCAGGGCCTTTGCCTTGGTCGTTGAGACGTCTGGTGAATCTCACACAGCTGCAGGTGCTTCAGCTGCTTTCAGAATCTTTGAGAATTTGTTTGCATTTTTTCATCAGACATGCGCACCGCACTCTTTGTTCTTTTTGGCCTCGACGCTCTTTGCAGTGTACTTGTCAACCACGGCCTCTTGTGGAGATCACCGAATCATGAGTCTTGCTTAATCCATGACCTGGAAGAGCATGGCATTACACTTTGAGGTAGTAGTTTGAAAATGCATTCCCGAAAGCTAACCCTTCCGTCAGCAGGTGCAGTTGAATGATCTATACTGCCCAGACGGCATTGACGTAGTGGCCGGACTGATGAAAATGCCGAAGATGCGCACATTCAACATTGATGCAAATCCCACGATGTGTGGGTGCCTCTTGTAAGCTTTGCGCAGCTTTTTTGGTTGCTTTGACATGCTTTGACATGTTTTCATTATAGCAAGTCTGTACCAGGTATGTAGCACGTTTGCGCGATTGGGTGAATGTTGGACAATAAGTGACCCGAGGTGCTTGCCGTCCAAGGTGCCCGCGCATTTGAGGATGCAAGTGGGTGAAACAGCTGTTCGCATTGGCTGTGAGAAATTGGAGCTATAAAGTAAACACATATATAAGTGAGGCCAAGACGAAGTGAACGCCATGTGAACACCTGGGATACCGTAGGTCTGAGATGGTAGGGTCATAGGGCCCAGATGAGACTTGAGCATGGGAGCTCAATGACTCAATGGATACGGTGGTGTGCTCGAAGACGGACCCCTCGAAAGAGGTCGCGCCAGAGGAAGCATTCGGTCTTTCGACCAACTGGCCACTTCAGATCTGACTGGATTCTGTCATGGACTCTGTATGCAGCGAAGACCGGAAAACATGCGATGTATTGCAATGTTCTGTATATGAAGACTGGCCGGCCGGCAAGGTTTGGTTGTGAAGGCATCTCCGCCATTTGTTCCAACATGCTGATCATGCTGAGATGTCTATTTGATTCTATTTGTACATGCTTGCATGCTTTTGGATCGCAGCAATTTTGGGCCAAGCGTAGAGGTGTGCACCGTTGCATCGTCCATGGATGTGCCTACGGCTGGGCGTCCCCCTGGCACACGCTTGTCGCTGCAGCGATGCACGCTCTTCGTGCTCTTGGTGCCGTTGTTCGTCCTCCAAGCTGAGCTTTGGCAATTTGTGGTGCCAGGCCGTGGTGCCAAAGGTATCCAGGTCGCCCGGTTTGCTGCGGCCCAGGGTTACTTCCCTGGAGTTGAACTAGAAGAACCTCAGGAGCCCCCGAGCCGGGGTAGCCTAATTGAGCCTTTATTACATACAGCATGCTTTAGCCATTTCTCACGTTCATATGCGTCTATAGATTTATAGCCCATCGTTTTGATGAGGCCATGCTATTGATCCCGTGCCAAGGAGAGACTGCAGGAGATTCCGGATCATGGAACTGAAGAGCACACTGAGGAGGTCAAACTCCTCAGAGAGCAAACGGCACTTTTAGCCCAGGAACTGAGACTTCTCAGAGAGATCTTGCAAGATGGAGCCTTAGCGGATGTCATTGCCGACCTCACTACCCAGCAAGTTGATGCTAGCCCTGTGGCAGAGGTGAAAGACGAAGAGGCTTTGAAATCCACGATTCCACCAGCAGCCCATGGCCTGAAAGTGCTTTCAAGCTTTTTAGTCAAATTTGTAGCTATTCCCACTCTGGAGGTATTTTATTTTGCTATTTGTGCTTGAACCCATGAAGTTTCCAAGTTCAGGGAACGGACCCCCGTAGCATCCGTAGCCATCGAGAAATCCACAGTTTGGGACCTCACAATGAGAATTGAAAGGGGCAGCAGATGAGAACATATGAGAACCAAGTGTAGGAACCAAGCTGAATCAGCCTTTCTGCTTTTGGCTGTTTGACAGAGCGGGTTTCAAAGATTCCCAGTACCACCCAGCTCAGAAACGAACAAGGATGGGATGGCTATGTCGGAGCTTCTAGTATCCAAACAAGTGAGCTATCGGCACGAAGACGCCTTGCAAGTGCTGAACCACCTCTCCAAGAGAGTCGTCGAGCGACGTGTTGAGGGGGAGTTGCCATTGGGACAGGTGCCCAACGTAGGCTGACCGCATTGCTACGCTACTTGGGGAAACAGAGGAGGCATTCAGGGGCTGTAATATTACTTTGTGGGGGCGAGAGCTGCATCCTACTGTTGCATCAAATTTGGTGTGCTGACAACTGACGGCTCAAGAGTCTCAGAAAGAGAGAACGGGAGAGAAAGAGAGAACGAGAACAACCAAACATGTGTAAACTGAGCGCTTCAAAGTCAAGAGGGGATCGTGAAGCATTCTCAACCTGCGAGATTTGGAGCTAGCCAGTATGTGGAGAGTTCACAGTACTCCCTGAAAAGAAGCAGTGAAACCACAGGTGCCGTTTCGACGATATGTGATGTGTGTATGTCAATATATACGAACATAAACAATACTTTATGTAATTTGTTGGTGCCAGTTAATGGCAGTCGAGAACGGCCTCCCCGATGGTTTGTGCTGTTGACTGCAATGGCAGACGAGGTGCAGCAGTTTATCGAGCCACCCTCAGGGGAGCTGTGTCAAAGGAAAAATCCATGGCGATTGTTGGATAGTGGTGCATGCCAACGACCAGTTTTTTTTTTTTTGCGTGGTATTGCGCGGTTTTCTCTTGAGACTGCCTGGGGAGAAGATGGATACGTTTTATAGATCATTTTGGGATCATTTTATGGATCACACACACATTAGATGCGGTCAATCGTGCTGCTATAGTCGTGTTATTCTTGTGTCAAGCCAATCTCCGATGCTATTGATTTTGGGCAGGTTCGCACAAACGGAGAGCTTTCCTGGCCACCAGCCACCAGCCAAGGTTTCAACCAGGGTTCCAACAGGTTCGCAAGAAGAGAGAATGTTTGGGGCTTTGCAAGGCAGGTTTGCTTGAGGGTCTCAAGTTTCTTCGCGCAGAAGCAAGGCTCACACAAGGTTTCAACATTTCCAACCCAGGCGTCGATCAGGACTCTGACCAGGACTACTGCCCCCTGCAAAAACAACAAACTTAATACACGCGTCATCACGCGCCCATATTTCAATGAATATGCAGAAATGTTTGAGATGCTGCCGGACTCTTGGCGCAAGACGTCAACGACTAAAGAAACATCATTAAAAATCACAGTTGTCCGCATGTGCAAATTCCCTGGGGTTACTGTAACTTGGACGTTGCCGAGTTTATGGCCAACGAGGCTAGTGGCACAAGCAGCTTACAGAATGGACACCTTGATCATGTGAGACCTCACCAGTGTGTGCTTTGACCTTTCGGTGGGTACGCCACGCGGTGTGTACCGTTCTGAAGCTGAGTCATTTGTATGTGACTTGTTCAACAAAGGCACAGGCAGTTGCCTGGGGTTGGGACCCAGCCAGTTGCGGCCCTTCACAGGAAGGCCAAATTCTGACCGAGGCTTGTTGCATATAATGTATATATATATATATAGTTATATATATAGAAATCCTGGTTCGCACTAGGCCAAAAAATAGCAGACCGATAAAACAAACAATATTGGCGCGAGATGGAGCAAACTTCGATGGCCCACACACTGGGAACACACCCGCACACACACACTCATGGATATGCGTACTGACTTGACAGCGGTGCCACACGCCGGCCTAGGGTACCATTTCCTAAGGTACAAGTAAGAACCACGGATCCTGGAGGTCTTCAAAAGGAGAAGGGGCCAAAGGCTCAAGTCGAGATCGGGACGACAGGATGACGTCGTACGCTCTTGTCTGCCGCAGGCACTAGCCCTTTATGGAAACTTAAAAGTTGATGCAGGTACGTCAGCAAGCGTCCTTGCTGATATCAGCACAACCTGAAGAGCCTCTTTGTTAGATGCCCTCTCTTCAGGTGTGGGGCACCCCCTTGCTGGAACAAAGTTAGAAAATAAGAAAGCAAGCCGAGCAAATCCAACAGGATCCCTATGATTCCAAGGGTTACACACACACGCCTCCCCGAAGGGAGGCATGTGTGACCTCCATCCTGCCCGGAAAGGAGGTAGGCACATGTGCACGCAAAAGGGACAGATGAAAATGAGAAGGACAAGACAGACAAAGGTGTGTGTGGTTGCCGATGAAAAGGAACCAAGTGAAGAGGGACAACCGATGAGCCAAACCTCATTGTAACGAACCTGGGCCACCTAAACCTCGTTGTAAGTAGAGTACGCGTGCGTGTATGTGTACAAACTAAGGTCCGGACGATAGTGCGCGCAAGAGAAAGAAAGGATGAGGATGAAGAGACATGAAGACAGAAGGACATGAAAGGAAAGAAGGAAAAAAGTCTGTGGGGGCGGATGAAAGGGGAACCAAATGAAAGGGGGCAAACCGATGACAGTCCAAACCTCATTGAGAAACCTGTTGCAGAAGCCTAGTTTGCTTGTAAATACGCCACGCGCGAGGAAAGAGGGGGGGAGGGGAGGAGGAAAAGTGAAGGAGGGAGAGAAGGAAGTAAAGGTGTTCCCAGCTACGGCACAAGCGTCCAAGGACACACCAAAAAGGAAGGGCTCCCAGCTATGACGAAAGCCTCCAGGGACGCCCAAGGAAGAGGGTGAAGAGAGGAAAAAGAGAAGGAAAGAAAGAGAGAGGGAGAGAAATGGAGAGGAGAGAAAGGAAGGTGTTCCCAGCTACGAACAATCGTCCAGGGACACACCAAAGAAGGAAAGGGGAGATCCTGAGTATTACATTCAGGAAAACCCCAGAAAGCAAAGAGAGAAAGGGGGAGGGCAGGGGGAGAAGGGGGCTAAGTTCTCCACAGGTTCCAATGAACCTTGAACAAGCTTCGGTCGCTGCGACCACGTACGGCTTGCCCGAGGGCTGCCACCCCTGACCGCTACGGTCACGTACAGGCATGAGCCAACTTGGAATTCCAAAGATGAGACAAAAATCATCATACGTACGGCCTAGGCCACCTACGCTCGCTGCGAGCTGCTCTGTATCCAGGCAATGGATACGTTCGACGTACACCCGTTCGACGGGTCCACGGGAGGCACTCTGCGGGCTCATCCCGGGTTGGCACGAGGCCAAACACACTCATGGATATGCGTACTGACTTGACAGCGGTGCCACACGCCGGCCTAGGGTACCATTTCCTAAGGTACAAGTAAGAACCACGGATCCTGGAGGTCTTCAAAAGGAGAAGGGGCCAAAGGCTCAAGTCGAGATCGAGACGACAGGATGACGTCGTACGCTCTTGTCTGCCGCAGGCACTAGCCCTTTATGGAAACTTAAAAGTTGATGCAGGTACGTCAGCAAGCGTCCTTGCTGATATCAGCACAACCTGAAGAGCCTCTTTGTTAGATGCCCTCTCTTCAGGTGTGGGGCATCCCCCTGCTGGAACAAAGTTAGAAAATAAGAAAGCAAGCCGAGCAAATCCAACAGGATCCCTATCATTCCAAGGGTTACACACACATGAGCGCCATCGACAGTGAAACAGACTCTTCACAGCACATCCGGAACGCACACATCCTGAACGAGAGGGTTGTTCAACATTTTTCGTGCAACCTCACGCCCTGGCACTGCCACTGATACAAGAGAACAAGCACCAAAGCAGAGTTTGAAAGCAGAGTGCAGCTTTAGCTTTTGATAATCGCCAGTCGTCACCCAGGAAGACAACGACCTCAGTCACAAAGTGGCAGCTCAGCTTGCAACCATCATTCTGTGACAGGGGTTCGGGTTCATGGGATGGGGTAGCTGGGTCGATCGAAAGCAAGGCTGCGGCCTTTGTGTTTCAAGCCAAGCAGGCGGCCTCTATCATCCCGCTTAGCCTTGTATGATAGGTTTGCTAACTATAGGAGATACGGATGAGAGAGTTATATAGATGTGGCAAAGTCGACTCAAACTACAGAAACGAACAGGCCAAGCCGTCAAGCTGCATATTCTTGGGATGATGCACCCGACAGCTTGACTCAAGTGACTCGTCTGGAACACCCGCCTCGCCTGGAACCAATCTGAGGCGGGGCTGTTGCGCTCTTGTTCCCCATTGGTGCAACGAGTGGTGTTAGATCAGGGCAGCCTAGCGACCTGCCGGGATCCCAATGCCGGCTGCGTGGGACGCATCCGGAAGGCGCACAGCCCACCTGAGCCCACTGGTCAGAGTTTGTAACAGCTGCCCCGCCCGTGAGCCCCCAGTAGCTTCTTGTTACTAGTAGCGATGCCGGGAGCCCCTAGTAGCGTCCTTGTATAATGGTGTATGGCCCTTCAAGGCCACTTCCTTGGCTTATTCAAGTCTATCCAGTTGCATGTCTCGCCGGTCAGCCCCTGCCAGGCCGAGAAAAGTGCTTCTTCAACTTTTGTGGCGCCAAGCAGGGATGATACCCATCTGAAGTGCTAAGATTCTAAGATTGTTCAATTTTTTTATTTGGATCTTGAAGCTTGGAACACACAAAAATCCAACATCCCAGTATACATTGGAAAATTTAACTAGCAGTTATTCTGTGTAGACTGCTCCCCAAAGCTGTGACAAGTAAGTGTATACAGTTTTCCATTGGTACCTCTGGACAACCTACCCATGTGTGATAGCAATTGGTACCTCTGGACAAGCCTTTCATCAGATCCCTTATCATGCCTCACGTAAGCCGTAAGCCCTCATACAGGGCCACAGGATCCTCTCATCTCCTTCATACCTGTGTGTATTAGCAATAACTCCTGAGTGTGAGGTACAAGCTTATGACTGGCTGGAAGGCCTTGTTGACGCCAACCTGAGGAGGTGGAGACATTTATTGAGGAGAATGAGCTCAATGAACGTGCCGGCGAAGCCCTGCGAGGTGCATCTGAAATTGAACTGCACTAAGATGTGCCGAGTGTTGTTTGCAAACGTATATAACAAGTGCGATGCATGTGCCCTTTCATTGATGCAGCAAATCGCAGCAGTTTTGCTGAGCTGCACTTCCCAGAGGTGCAGCACCAGCAGTGCAGCGGCAAGTGCTCGAGCAGGTGGCGCAAAGTCCTGTGGCACGCCCATTGAATCCATAATAGTGAGCGTTCACATCTGTTTTTTTTTTTTTTGCGGCAGCTTCTAAAACAAGTCCTCTATGTGAGCATAATTTGATTGGCTGATGACTGCATAGTGCATTGTCCTTCTTTTCTGTACCAAGCTGTCGTGACTGACTTGATTGGTCTAGAGTCCACCAGTCCACCACCCATCTCAAACCTACTTCCTACAGTTGGCTTCCAAAAGGCATTTTGAGCACGCAGCTAGACTTCCATGGAAACCTAAAGAAAATCACCGCAAATTGAAGGTAAGAGTCATGAGTCGCGGAAGGGAACAGGAAATATATTGTGCTGCCTGGGCTGCCCTTGAGGCATTCTTCGCTTGCGGGGTTTGCTTCGATCATCTCTTGCCGTTGTCTCGTAGTGCTTGTGGTGCTCTCACATCCTTTTGCTAGGCCTAGGCTTCTCAAGTCTTTTTCATGACCGCTCTGCAGCCCCATCCCAATCACCTGTGCCAATGGGGGCCTCCTTTGCAAGTAAACGGCCCTTGTAGTGAAGTGGCAAGGCAATCACAGATACCGCCAGTTGAGGGCTCATTGGAGCACTAAATGCATGGCTGCACGGCGTTTTGCCACTTTGTCGTTGGCTTCTTGATTTTTTTGTATGAGACTCATGTTGCTCTTATCTACGTGTGCTATATAGGTGTCTTATGGTGTCTTATGTTGTCTTGCAATACCAGTACTGTAGCGTCCTTGCTCCCAGTAATAATACGGCCAGGAGCCCCTAGTAGCGTCCTTGCTCCTAGTAGCGATGCCCTTTGTTACTAGTAGCGTCCTTGTTAATAGCAAAAGCTTCAAGGCTTCACCGGTCATCGCTGTAGTTCAGAATGCTAAGAAGTGTCAGGGCAGCCTCCTCAGCTGTCGAGAGCCCAGCGCGGGTTGCAGCCTGGTATGAAGGGGCCGGTGAAGCCTCCAAACAGACACTCAGAAGCTGAGCCATCCCGAAAGCAACCTGAGTGCAATTTGTGATGTTGGTCTTGAGAAGTCCTTACAACCAGATGAGTCCACGATGAACCCTTGTGCGGTCCTGTAGGTTTACCTTGCTGCTGAGGCATCGGGCGAATCAACAAAGCCCAAAAGACGATGGATCCTGCACTCCTAGTGCCGTAGCTGCCATGGCTATGGCATTAACCCGTTAGCATCGTTTGAACGATGCTAGAGTATGGGAAGACGCATGGGAAAACTAGCATGCTTGGCTGCTTGATGTCGATCATGCTGAACACGCCACGTCCACTCAGCTGGGCTTTGGGCCTGTGGAACATTTCCACTCTATTCATGCCCTTGCTTGCGTGGCAATTGTTGCCACAAGATTCAATGGGGGCTTAGGTGGCATGAAGTAGAGCAACAGAACATGTATCATGCACGCTGAGATTTGTATAGTTTAGTATAGTATATATTGTTTATCTTTTTGCACATGCACTTGCCCTTGCGCTGGCGTACGATGGACTTCAAGCTGTGCCACAAAAGTGTTCTTGGATGTCCTGAGGCAATCCCTCACATTAGCGGGCCATCAGTGGAAGAGTTGGAGGACTTCATTCATGCTCTTTGGAGTGAATAAATGGCGACCCGGATTGTTTGCTTCTTCAATGTAGATTAGCACATAGGGGCCGCAGATACACCACTTTAAAGCCAACTCACCTGGAAGGACAAAAATATGATGATCGAAAGCAAAGAGCACGAAGAGCACGGTTGAGAAAACCTGTATATATACACATATGTATACACAATACACACACACACACACGCGCATGTGTTTACATGTCCATGCATATGTAATATATGTCTCTCTCTCTCTCACTGTGTCTGTGTTTAGAAGGCGTTATAAGTTATAATGCTGTAGAAGTTGTAACGCTGGAGCAGCCAAGGACAACTCCTTGGATGAGCGAGCTGCCTCTGCCTTGCGAACTGCTGCTCAATGGTTGCAGCGCCAGGTTTTGGACCAGGTGCTGAAATTCACCCGTGCCAAAGCTGGTGCAGAGCGGATGAAAGGTTAGTAACCCGACTGCTCCGACATTCCCTTGGACTTTATATTGTGACGTCACCTTTTTTGGTCACACCTAGAACATCCTAACATCCATTGCCACTCCATGAGCTACTTGTAGAGGCAACTACCCAGGAGAGCTCGAATGATGCAATGATGTGATTGAAGCCTTTCACGAAGCTGAAGATTAGCTAATGATTCCTTCGAGGCTTCGAGCTCTACTTATTTTGCACATTTACATCTTGTAGAGATACCCTTTTTATCAATTTGTTTTCATTCTCTGCATGGTAGTACGAGGTGCTAGTAGTTGACAAGACTGGTCTTTGTCTTTGCAGGGCAGCTTGCACACCTGCCGTGATCCAAATGCTGGCTTGATGGGGCGCAGCTTGGTAGATCATGGCACCAGTTGTCCGAAACACGCGTAAACAACATGTCAAAGAAGCTCTTTAAGTGATAAAGTGTGAACAGGTGGGCTCAAAGAGGGTCGTGTGGACAGATGGTCTTTGGAAAGCAGGAGCAGTCTGTTTGGGGCCACTCTCCCAGGTATCCGTCGTGCGCAGCAGCCTTCGCAGTTTTCTGTGCAGCAGGCTTCAGTGCCACCACGAAAGGAGGCCACATGACCTTGGCTAACTCTTTCCACGTAGTTAGTAGTAACGTGGTAGCCTGTGCTTGTGGCTGCCATGACATAGTCACCGGCTGCACGGGCAGAAGGACCTGCACCATCCTGCCTGGCTGCAGGTTTTCAATGCCTTCCCTGGGCAAACTGCTCCAACTGCTCGGGATACTCGACCTTGTTATGTAACTTGTTCTCATTTTGATGCTGTGTCACATCAAGGAAAATGACCAAGGAGTACAGTCAGCCTCCAAGTGCTTGCTTTGTGAATTGCATGACTGAGGACATCGAGAGGTTTATTGAAGAAAATTGCTTAAATGACTCTTGGCATGTTACACATGTCACCCTTTATCTATGTTGATCCATTTCTGCCTTGAACCTTTGTCAGCCTGGTCTTCCACAGTTCATTAAGCCATCCGAGCAAGTGGTAGCCGAAGCTTAGGAGCGTGCAGCAGACGCTTTAAGAAGTGCTGACAGCCCCGTGCAGCAGCAGGAGCCAATGACAGATGTCAAATGTGGTGCAAGAGCTTTGTTTCCGAGTCTTGCTCTTGCGTATGAAGCTTGGCGACTTTGGTGTTTCATGCTGGTGCTGAACGCATCGATCATCGAATCGCTCTATCAACCTTTGAGAGGGTGGGTCAATGGCAGGTACTTGATCAAGGAAGCCTCCATGGTACCCGCGAGCCAAGCGCTGCCTGCATTGGGCGGATTTCAAAGATTCAAAGGCGCACACATGCCATGCACACGAGTTACCAGAATCTGCGGAGAATGTAGATCCTCAGAATCGCCTCACCATCTTTAAATTCTTCCATTGGTTTGATTTGTTGTGCCAGGAAGGCACGCAAAAGGGGCTGGGGCTCGCCGAGCTTAGATGATGTCGAAAGCTTCATTTATGCTGCTCAGCAGCATCCGGGGTAAGGACTTGCAGTATGCATCCGGGCTGCCAGGCGTAATGTGCAAGTGGTTGCTGCTTTCAAAGCAAGCTTTTTTTCTCCGTAGGCGCCGCTATTAGTCTGCCCAGATAGTGCATGTTGACAATGACCAACAAAGACCAGCCCATCATTTGACCGCAAGAAGGGACCTTGAGCCTTGTGAATGTGCAACTGTTGAAGGATGTCTCATGGGCTTATTTTTCGGCACGAGTTCAATTAACGTCTAGCCACCTCCATACTCAGCCCAAGGAAAATCGCTTGGACCAGCGTGCAGCAGCAGCTTTAGAACGTGCGCCGCCTGTGGCCGGAACCTGATTGCGTGAGGTGACACAGAGAAGGCAGTAGATGCAGGAGAACACGGACCTGATTGCACATAAAAGCTCATTCTGATTCAAACATGAAGTAATATCAAGTATCGCCAAAGTAACCAAAGCCAATCAACTTGGATGTCCATGACCAGGTGCAACGATCGTTGCTGTCACAGGGACAGCTCCATGGCAATACATCCCGTGAATGCATGGCGCAGATCCGAGCAGCCACATCTCAGGAGGGGCGTTGGTGATTGGTGATAGCCTTCAAAGCACGCACATGTTCAACTTTAAGTTTGGAAACTGTTTTTTCAATCCTAACATTTGTACAGTAAATGGCCTTCATTTCAGTCAGTCCATCCATTGTGGCCGTCAAAGCTAAATCACGTGCCCCGCACTTTCTGATATGTTGATCACAATCTGCTTGTGGCCTTCAAGACTTGACCCAGAGGAGCAGTATGGTGCTGAACCGCTTGATGAGGTGGAGCAGTTCATTTCAGACAATGTGGCCTGCCTGGTCAAAGAACTCGCTCGTGTTGGTGTTCCCCGGCCCTTTATAAGAACCCGATAAATGCCACCGCATTGGATGCTTTATTTGACAGACCCGTGGGCCCATGGACAGCTTTGCAGCACGCACCACCAAAAGACCCACGTTAGACCGTTAGACCAACCTTGGTCATTGCTGCATATTAGATATGGTATTGTTGCACAAGCGGTCTCGAACATCCAGCACTGGAATAAGGTCAGTGACAATATTTGTTCAAAAGGAGCTGTGAACAAATGTTTGTCTACAGTAATACATGTCATGTTTTATGATGTTTGGAACTGTGAGTTGCACTCAGGGTGTTGACACCTTTGCAGCCTCAAAACTGCGGGAGGCGCACCCAGACGTGCAGCGCTGGGTGCCCTGTCGAACTAGTGCTTTCTGTCGGCCATGGGGCGCAAACACATACAAACCATTCAACATAGGCCTAGGAGCGTTGAGCTATTGGCTGCTGAATTCACCAGAGTTTGCCAGATTGACACCGCAAGACACGGCTACATGATGATTAAGTTTTCATCCCAATACATTTGGAACCAAATCAATCATGCAAGCCAGCAGAGAGTGCGTCCGTGTCCTAGCCTATCAGTGGCCTACTGAATAGCTACTCTAGCTGTAGCTACTACCTACTAGCTACTTGCAAGCTACCACCTTATGGTCTACCCTCCGCTACAAATAGACGGACATTGTATTCCCAACTCAGCAGCAGAATGATGGGTTTCAATCTCTAGGGCTGGGAGTGGCGCAAAGTTCGTCCACGACGGTCTAAACTTAAACCGGAATTCCTCGAACCCTGGGTGTTTTCTGGAACTGCTGTCGGGAGTGGTGCGCAGTCTTATCGACAGGGCTTGAAAACCGGAATGCCATTGTCGAACCCTGGGTGCTGTCTGGAACCTTGGGTGCTGTTGTGGCACAGTCTGCCCACGGAGCCCACAGGGCTTGAAAGCCGGAATTCCGTCCTAGAACCCCGCATGCTGTTTGGAATGTTCGGTGCTGTCTGCCTTGGAGCCTGGCTGGTGTTGATCTGTTTGCGCTTTAGACTGCGCAGTTGGTTCCCAACAGCAGAATGCAGTTGGGTTTCAACCTCTGGGCCAGTTTGTCACCGGCGCCCGGAATCCGTTGTGGAACCCTGGGGGCTGGCTGTTGTGTTGAACCCTCGGTTGGAACCGTGGGTGCTGTCAGGTGGTCTTTTCTCAGGCATCTAGAACAGCAAAGCAAGACTTCTGCGTGCGCAACCAATCCTGGAAACCGCGGGCACATCCGAATTCCGCGTGTACAGCCGTCGTCCACCCTGTGCCTTATGTCCCCGTTTGGGATGCATTCCTTCCCTGCAGCACACGGCATGTTGTATGGGCAGCAAGGCCACAGGCAGTTGCACCTACCTAGCATGATATTTCTGAGCTGTTGCACTTGTGGTGTGCTTAATGTATCCGGTACGACTCATTCTTTCTACACACTAGTGCCAAGGAAACTGGGAGCCAGTTGCATCCTTTTGGCCAAGGAACTACAGGGAATCCCCCTCCAACCCCTTGCTAGTTAGGATCAGCAATGCGACTGTTGCGTGTTCCTAGCAACACGCTGGTGTGCCGGGAGCAACGCTTTTGCAGTTTTGATGCGCTTTCCTTCTTCTTGCCACCCAGCTTCTCGACCTCAGTTTTTGCACCCCCAGCTTTTCCTCGCCAGCTCCCTTTGCATTTGGCAATTGGGCCGCTTGCTCATTGCAGCCATGTTTGCACCGAGGTGTTGGACCAAGGAAGCCTGTCCACTTGTCGCGAGCCAAGCGCTGGCTGTGCCCCGGCCGCATGTTTGTAGGTAGAGATGAGAAGAGATGTCGAAAAAGGTAAATGAGCCAGAAGAAAAAGGTGGGTTTATGTAAAGTAGTATTGTGGGATCCTTCGTTCAGAATTCCACGCACCGCCGCAGCTATTTCTGATGTTTTTTTTGTCTTTGTGGAATGTGTCATTTAGCTGGGGAACGACCCTCTGGACGACATCCAAAACGACATTGGAACTACCTCCTTAACTACGTACAACATGCATTTGCTGCTGCTGCTGCTCTTGCTCCTCCTGCTCCTGCTGTTGCTCCTGCTCCTCCTGCTGCTCCATCTCCTGCTCCTCCTGCTGCTCCTTCTCCTGCTGCTCCTGCTGCTGCTGCTGCTGCTCACTTTTGATGGACAGTATTTAGCCAGATTTCTCGGCGAAAAAATTGCCTCTGAACGACCTCTGAACGACATCCGCATTTCAGTCAGAATGACTACTACTTCCACGACTACTACTACTACTACTCCTGCTGCTGCTACTGCTACTGCTACTGCTGCTTCTGCTGCTGCTGCTGCTCCTCCTCCTACTCCTACTCCTACCCCTACTCTTATATACTCCTACTCCGACTGCTGCTGCTGCTGCTACTACTACTACTACTACTATGTTTATTACTATTAATTGCAACTGCTGCTGGCTACAGCTACTACTACTACTACAACTACTACTACTACAACAACTACTACTACAACTACAACTACAACTAACCACCACCAGCACCACCACCACCAGCACCACCACCAACAACAACTAACCACCACCAGCACCAGCACCAGCGCCAGCACCAGCACCAGCACCACCACCAACACCAGCGCCAGCACCAGCACCAGCACCAGCACCACCACCACCACCACCACCACCACCACCACCACCACCACCACCACCTATGAAACTTAGAGAACTCCGTGAACAAACGTGAGAACACTGTTTCAACCAAAAACCACCTAACGCGAATGCTCGGGAGCGAAGCCCCGACACGCCGCCCACCCGGAAGGCACGCAACTTTTTCTGCGTGTCCTTGAGCCACGTCATCAAGTGGCAACGTTCGAACTCTCGGCACCAGCACTCCGAAAAACAGGAGGGACAGTGATTAAGGTCACCGCCCTCACTGCATATGTCGGTCCGAAAAACAGGAGGGACAGTGACTAAGGTCACCGCCCTCACTGCATATTTCGGTATGTATGCGTGGTTCTGCGAACTTGGTACACTTCTTGATTTTTGAGTGTGCTTCACACTCTTCAAAAACACATGCCCAAAAACGATCACCATGACCGCAGGCGAACCCTTCGGCATTGCACCCTGAGACGAACAGAGGTTGGGCGAACTATGCAAAGGGACTTCATGGCGTCACTATTTCACACCCCCCCCACGACCAAACACTGTTACGTTCTCAAGCAATGAACGAAAGGTTATGAGCTTTACACGGCTTAGTGGTTTTGAGCCGTACTCTTATGCATGCATGCTTTCACGGGATGTGGATGCAATACTTGCAAGGCTTGAAGACTCGATTCAAATCGATGGCAAGCAGGCAATGACATTCACCAGTCTCTCGGACCCTGTGCAGGTGCGAGGCGAACTCAAAAGAGAATCCTTTCGACACCAGGCCAAGAGGTAGGCACTTCGTGCACAATGGAGCTGTCACCAAGGATCCGTCCAAGTGTTTTCAAAGTGTCATGCATTCTCTCTTGTGGATCACTCTTCCTAGTGAACACATAGCGAATGGCCGGAATGTCTTCCGGCGGGTGCGGTTCGCCTGGCAAATACGATGGCGGGTGAGGTGAGCTTGAATGGCCTTCGTCCACATGGTGCCACTCAGGCTCATGGCTGTCTCCCTCAACTTCTTCCATCTTTCCATACCCACCATCCTTCTTCTCCAACTTCAAACCTTTTCCACCTCCCTTCAAATTCTCACTTCCAGCTGTTGTGGAATCCTGCACTGAGCTCGATGCCGCGGCACTTGATCCCTGTGATCATGGTCGTCGCGATGGACGTTCAGTTCGATGCTCACCTTTGACGGTGCTTCCACCTCGATCATGATCCGGGACTTAGGAGCCATGGCAATCAAGTTCGAAAGAAACAAATTGTATCCACTTTATGGAATTTCGCTTAAACAGTCATTATGGTATCTATGGCTATTGCGGTGTTTCACATCGAGATCATCGAACCCTACTGCAACAAATGGCATAGTCCATCAATGAAATCAAGTGAAATTATATCTATTGAATTCAGTTCTTTCTATCCCATGGGGTCTTCACTCAGGGAGAGACTGCAACCGGAGGAACCAGGAGGCCAATTTCTGAACTAGCTTCAATGGATATACTCCTAGTGCACGAAGACTCTGGCTGTTCAGTGGCAAATGGGTATTGCATTGACAGCGCTTGGGATCAAACAACATGCACTTGCTAGCAATTCGGAACTCATGTTTCGCTCGGGCCTCTTCGCTCTGAGTGTATGCGCAGCGTTCTTTCCAATACATGCATGGCCTTGCAAGCTCGAGACACCTAACGTGACAACGCAACATGACGTCTCGGGAACTTTCGATCAGCGATTTGAACTCAGCCATGCGCTGCTCTCTGATTTCTGACCTGCGAGGTTCTGGGATCAGGTTGATCACTGGCGAACCACCTGTACACGGAGGCGATGCCCAACACATCAGCATGACCTTTGGAAAGTCTTGGAGGACCTTGTCGACTCAATCACACAACTTCAAATGAACAACGTTCAAATTGTCTTCTTCGGTGACTGGCACAATCCGCAAGGAACCATGTGAATCTTTTCGAATCACCTG